CGCGTGCGCGTGCGCGTGCGCGTGCGCGTGCGCGTGCGGGTGCGGGTGCGGGTGCGTGTGCGGGTGCGCGCGAGCGCGCGCGCGCGCGTGTGGGTATGTGTGTGTGTGTGTGTGTGTGTGTGAGAGTGTGTGTGTGGTGTGTGTGTGTGTGTGTGTGTGTGGTGTGTGTGTGTGTGTGTGTGTGCGTGTGTGTGTGTGTGTGTGTGTGTGTGTGTGTGTGTGTGTGTGTGTGCGTGTTTGTGTGTGTGTGTCAGTGTGTATGTAGGTTACCCCTGCTGTATATCGCTGTGGTGCAACAGTTCAGATCGTGTACAGCAGTGATAAGTCAGAGTAGACAGGGGCATTGTATCAAGTTGTTCGTAGCATTACACGCATCTCACTAAACTACGTTATACTGTTTCATGTTGTGTTGCTGTGTCCTGACCGCTGCTCACTGTATTGCATAGCAGTGCCATGCATTACTTCTGTAGGGCCCTTGTTGTAGCACTCCTTAGTCTTGTGCTGGCGCGGGCACCTACACATCGACTGAGAGCCTGCTGCTAGTCAGCATCGTGAGTTTGTCAAGCAAAGCGCGCATTTAGCCATGCGAATGTAACGGTATGTACATAGCTAGCCAGCCAGGCCGGTAGTTGAATGAGAACAGTGTGCTTGTGTGTATATCTATATAGAAAAATATATGTACATATCATATATACATACAAACACACACAATCATAGAATCACGCTGTGTAGGTATTTATGCACAGCAATGCTAGTGCAGAGGTCTCTGAGTGTTTGCATGTGCGTGCCTACACAGACACACGCATCTATGCATGCCTGCAAATACGTATTAATTTAAAACCATAGATGCGCACGTGAAATAAGTAAGTGTGACGATACACGTACGTATATGGACCGAGTCACATATACATGCAAGTGAGTATGCGTGTAGCAAAATGTGCGTCTGTCTGTCCGTCTGCTTGCTCATATGTATCTCGATCTGCATGCACACTGGATGGGTGGGTAGGTGTGGTGAGGGGGTGCAGTGGGTGGCGTGGGTGGATTTGCTTAGTTACTGACTGACTGAGATACCGACTTATTTACTTACCCACACTATACATGCTACGGCCAGTCGGCACAATGCCTGCAGCTACGAAGTCTTTTTTTGCCGACGTGTGTTTAGCTACTCCACACCCCTTTATAAGCCCCGATGCCTACCAGTAGTGGTACCCAACAAGCGTGGCAATGTGAAACGCTTGCATAACTCCCAGCAGGGCCCAAGACTTTATGGCTTCTTCGCAGTCTGGAATCACAATGCAGATGAGCCAATCATACTTTCCCCTCATCTCTCTTCACCACCCCAGGCTCTTCAAAACCAGTAGCCGCCAAGTCCTCTCTGCAAGCAAATTAACAAAATACTAAAGTCTATATAGGCCGCCCCCAATCAAAATGCCTAAACAAAGCAATTATATCTCGGTAACAACAGCAAATTCTGCCCTATATACACGCTGAAGAGGCTTGTCACCCACTTGGAAATGTAAACTCGTCTCCCGAGGCGGCGACCTCCCTTTCCTCCTCCAGCGCATGATGCTTTGCCTGCAGCAGGGGACTTACGCACTTCTATGTGGGTGGTTGTCAAAATTATGGTCCTTTTTTGGGTCCCTATTCGAATACGGCACCTAATATTTAGGGTACCCAAAAAGGGACCCCAATTTTGACAACTACCCATGTGTGGCTGGTTCCACGAAGACCTCAGCACCATAAGGTGGAGGGGTTCGGGTTTATGGCCTTCAGGGTTCAGGGTTTTGTAGAGTTCAGGCTCTGCTGCTGCATCTGCCCAAGCTGGAAGATGGGCTTGCAAGAGTTGGGAACGCCTCCGAACAAACTCGGGGTATCAGGACCCCTGTGAGAGTTTTTGCAAAGGAAACCAAAGGACTGAGCCTTCACAACTAGACATAGAACTAGACACTGAGTTCCAAGCCTTCTTCACTCACCGTCACAATCCGAAAGGCTCTCAAAAGCGCCTACCCGAAGGCTCACTTCGCTGTGAGGTCTGATAGGCCGCGAATCGTCTTATACACGAGTCTGCATACTCCAAGTATACTTTCGGTGGAGTAAGGAAGGGGCCTTAATCATTAGAATAGGGGTTTGGGGCCCACGATACTATAATCAACATTAGGAACCCCCCCCCAAAAAAAAAAACAGTATAGGCATTGATTTAGGCCCCTATA